TTTTTTTTTTTAAGATTTTATTTATTTATTTGACAGAGAGAGATCACAAGTAGGCAGAGAAGCAGGCAGAGAGAGAGGGAGAAGCAGGCTCCCTGCCGAGCAGAGAGTCCGATGCGGGACTCGATCCCAGGACCCTGAGATCATGACCTGAGCCTAAGGCAGAGGCTTAACCCACTGAGCCACCCAAGTGCCCCTGGGGCATCTTTTCATTCACTTTCCACTTGCCAAGACCCCGTGTGCCTTTGGAACCCCTGTTCACACACATGTATTTCATATTTTCTAATTTTTTTTAAATAATGCAAAAGTAGGTTATATTTCCATTTTGTAACTGAATGGTAATGTTTATATAAGATCCATTCCCATTTACTTCTTGCCAGGATATGAGGTAAGCACAATAAGAGACAGACATACACACACGTGATATATATAGGTATATATGTATTTGTGTATATGCTGTGTGTAAATACATTTATTTTTTTGTGTGTATACATACACACAATAAGATAAGTGCAAAGGAGTTCGGCCAGCTGTATAGTTAGAAGGCACCATCCGCCCTCCCCCCCAAAAATAAAGCACCATCCCCACAAAACTTGTCATTTCGGCTCTCAGCCACAAACTTGGGAGTCCCCACAATCACCCTCAGGTTTGATAATTTGCTAGAACAACCACAGAACTGTCTACCTAGGCTGACAGTTTTCTCACAGTGCAGGGATACAAATTAGAACCAACCAAAGGAAGAGGTACCCAGGACAGAGTCCAGGCTGGGTCTAAACCTGGAGTTTCATTCGTCCCCTCCCTATGGCGTCATGGATGGTATTAGCTCCTCCTGGCCACTGTGCGTGATGATACAGAGGATTAGCAACCAGGGACACTTGCCTGAGTCTTTGGGGTCCAGAGTTTTTCCTGGGACTCAATCACGTACAGCCCATGTAGCTGACCCTCAGTCTCCAGTGTGTCCTAGAGGTTTAGGCTAATACCTTTAGTTTCTGGGTCCTGTGGGAGGTCAGAACTCACAGTGTGTGCCCTAAAGCCCCCATCATAAATCACACTGTTAGACAGTCTTTGAGCCAAGTCTTCTCTCCAATCAGGGGGGCCATTCTAGAGGCTCAAAGATGACCTCCCAGCAGCTGAGGGCAAAAGCTGACCTCTCTTTAGGGAAGATCAGTTCTTACTCATTAGGAATAATAAGTACTCTATATTTTTTTTTAAAAATTCTGGGTAATATGTTTCTAACTGGGCATTAATGTTAGCAGATGCATAGAGCTGAAGAAGTTACATCATTTCTCAATACTTGATACTGAGATATCAGCTAGCTGGGTCTGTATTTCAAAAAGAATATATCGGGTAGATCCTTCTGCAATATGCAATGGATATAATAACATAGTGAATAGTGTCTTTATTTTTGTTTGTTTTTATTTTTTTAGAGAAAATGAGCGAGTGGGGGGAGGGGCAGAGGGAGAGAATCTCAAACAGACTCCCTGCTGTGTACAGAGCCTGATGCAGGCAGGGCTCCGTCTCCTGACCCTGAGATTGTGACGTGACCCAAAATCAAGAGCCCGCTGCTTAACCAACTGAGCCATCGGTCGGCCCGTGAACAGTGTCTTCTAGCAGTAGTTTGGAGAATGGTTCTGTCAGCTATTTCTTGTTTGAACCCAGTGGGAAGACTTCCATGAGGGCGGGGGCCAAGCAGGGAAGAGAGTAATTTTACAAGGCCCAGGAAGACAGGTTTGTGGTGACAGCCTCCTCAGAGAGGGGGAGCGGCTCGTGCCTTCCTCTCTGTCGTATCTGTCTCCTGGCCCTGGTGTGTGGTAGACGGTCAGTGACTGACTGCACTGGCTGCCTTGCACCTTGTTAGGAAAAAGAAGCAAAGGGAGTTCAAGGTATAAATATTGGTGTAATATTAACAAATATTTAAAATATGGGGTCCAGTGGACGAGGAAAGAGCATCAAAAACTAAACTGAGGGACGCCTGGGTGGCTCAGTTGGTTAAGTGGCTGCCTGCGGCAGGTCATGATCCCAGCTTCCTGGGATCGAGTCCCACATCGGGCTCCTTGCTCAGCAGGGATCCTGCTTCTCCCTCTGCCTCTGCCTGCCACTCTATCTGCCTGTGCTCACTCTCGCTCTCTCTCTCTCTCTCTCTCTCTCTCTGACAAAAAAAAAAAAAAAAAATCCTAAAAAAAAAAAAAAAAAACTAAACTGAGCAGGGGCACCTGGGTGGCTCAGTCAGTTGAGCATCCGGCTCTTGGTTTTGGCTGGGGTCACAATCTCGGGGTTATAGGATCAAGTCCTGCCCCGGGCTGAGTCTGCTTGAGAGATTGTCTCTCTCCCTTTCTCTCCCACTTCTGCCCCTCCCCTACTCGTGTTCTCTCTCTTACTCTCAAATAAAATCTTTTTAAAAAAAACTTAACTGAGCATGTTGGTGCAATGCCACAGCCTAACTGGAAATTGTTCTCACTCACAAGCTTATGAATTACTGGTAAGAAGCATCCCAAGTCCACACCTGCCCCCTTGAGCAGTTGGAAAAGCTAAGGTTTCCCCTAGCATCCCCAGGGCATCCGAAGAGAGTGCCCCCCCCCAATGTCATTGTCCACTAAAAGGAAGCAGGGCTCCTTGGAGTAAGGCTGATTGTAGTTCTGGGGCAGGAAAAGGATAAAGTGAGCCTAGGATATTTTCTTGTTCCAGAAAGCAAGGAAACGTCCAGGGACCAGTGGGGTCATACCCAACAGAAACAGGAGCTGCTTGAAGGGGCCCTCCACTGTCCAAATGTGGGACAATGTGAGCCTCATTTGGGATAGTGATAGTAATGGCTCATAACAGAGTTGAAGAGAAAAAAGAACCTACAGGTATATACAGTGAGAGGAGGGGGAATTTTTATTTACCAAAAAACATTAGCTAATAAATGCAGAAGGAATGATCGAATCGGAAGGTCACCATTTTGTTCTCCTAAAATAACATTTGATTCAAACAAGATAATCATGCTAACGTCATTGTGTGAAAGGTTGTTGGGAAGCAGGATCTTCACATGGTCTTGAAGTGGCAAACCCTAGTTACTAATTACAAGCAAGTCACGTTTGCCATGCTGTGATGTAGTGCTCCCCACTTTGACCAAGTGATCCAAGTCGGCATCACCAGTCTCTAGACAGTAGGCATGGCAAACCTCCTGAAGTGAAGCAGGAGAAAGAGAAAGGAGTACACAGTATCACCTGTATACTAGTAGTACGGAAAATGTTATACTTGAACATGACCATTGTGAAACAATGTGACGAGTCCAGGATATGTGACATTCTATAAGACTGTTGGCCTAAGATCTCTTGTTTGAACAACAAAAACAGAGGTGGAAGGTATTTTCTAAATTAAAAGATCTCAAAAAGCTATAAAAACCGAATGCCGTGTGTGAAACTTGATGGGGCACTGGATCCTGGGGACAACTGGGGAAGATTGAATACAGATGGTTGATTATACTGTTATGGAATCTGTGTTGGTTTTCTCAGATGTGATAGTGATCTAGTGTCTACCTAGGAGAATGTTCTTTTTTTTTTTTTTAAGAAGATGTACATTTACAAATTGAAATCTTTAGGTGTAACATGTCATGTCTACATCTTCCTTCAAATGGGTTCAGAGTTTGCTCCCACAAATATGACAGAAGGCAAAGTTAGTGAATGTAGGTGAAGGGATCTGGGTGCTCACTGTACCATTTTTCTTTCAATTTTACGGTACATTTGAAAATCTTCCAGGTTGGGGGGAAAGTTTACAACACACGTTGTTGCCAAAGGAAAACATTTTGAAAAGTTTGCCTGAAGGAGAATGTGTATCCTGTTGCCTTATATTAGCATTTGACACTTCTTTCTTTCCATGCTAGTGGTCTGGATAATAAGTGTTCTGTGTACCCACTGACGTTTGACAAAAATGAAAACATGGCTGCCAAAAAGAAGTCCGTCGCTATGCACACCAACTACCTGTCGGCCTGCAGCTTCACCAACTCAGACATGCAGGTCAGTAAATGGCCGTTTGGTGGCTCTCAGCCTGTCGGGGAGCAAGGGAAGTGACAGAGGACCAAGGAGGGGTGGCAAGGAGAGGAAGGTAGCTTTGCAGTGTCCTTCTATTATTATCATTATCATCATCATCATTATCATCATCTTATTCAAGTACAGTGAACGTACAGTGTTATATTAGTTTCACATGCACAGTATGAATAAACAGTTCTATCCACTTCTCACTGCTCGTCGTGATAAATGTGCTCTTTATCTATAATCCCCTTTACTATTTCACCCATCCCTCCCCTCTGGCAACCATCAATGTATTCTCTGTATTAAGAGTCTGTTTTTTGATTTGTCTCTTTTTTTTTCTTTTTTTGTTTCTTAAATTCCTCATGTGAGTGAAATCATGTTATTTGGCTTTCTTTGACTTATCTCACTTATTAGCTTTATAATCTGTAGCTCCATCCATGTTTTTGCAAATGGCAAGATCTCGTTCTTTATTATGGCTGAATAATATTCCATTGTGTGTGTGTATCTATCTATCTGTATCTGTATGCCACATCTTCTTTATCTGTTTATCTATGGATGGACACTTGGGTTGCTTCCATAATTTGGCTATGATAAATAATGTTGCAATAAACATTGGGGTACACACATCTTTCTTAATTAGCATTTTTATTTCCTTTGGGTAAAATACCCACTAGTAAAATTACTAGATCATAGGGTAGTTCTGTTTTTAACTTTTGAGGAACCAAAATTTGCATTCCCCCCAACAGTACAAGAGGATTCTTTTTCTCCACATCCTGGCCAACACTTACTATTTCTTGTGTTTTTTATATTAGCCATTCTGACAGTTGTGAAGTGATATCTCACTGTAATTTTCCTTTGCATTTCCCTGATAATGAGTAATGTTGAGCATCTTTTCATGTTTCTTTTGGCCACCTCTATGTTTTCTTTGGAAAAATGTCTATTCAAGTCCTCTGCCATTTTTAACTTAGATTATTTGCCTCTTTTGGTGTTGAGTTGTATAAGTTCTTTCTGTATTGGGGATATTAACCCCTTATTAGATATGTCATATGCAAATATCTTTTCCCATTCAGTAGGTTATCTTTCTGTTTTGTTGATGGTTTCCTTCACTGTGCAAAAGTCTTTTATTTTGGTGTAATCCCAATAGTTTGATTTTGTTTTTGTTTCCCTTAGCAGAAGAGACATATTTAGAACAATGTTTATACGGCAATGTCAAAGAAATGATTGCCTATGTTTTCTTCTAGGAATTTTATGGCTTCAGTTCTCATGTTAAGTCTCTAATCCATTTTGAGTTTACTTTTTGTGTGTGGTCTAAGAAAGTGGCCCAGTTTCATTCTTTTGCATATAGCTGTCCAGTTTCCCCAGCACCATTTGTTGAAGACACTGTCTTCTTTCCATTAGATATTTCTTGCTTCCTTTCCTGGTCAATTAATCCATAAGAGCATGGATTTATTTATGAGCTCTCTACTCTGTTCCATTGATCTATGCGTCTGTTTTTGCACTAGTACCATAATGCTTTGATTACCACAGCTTTGTAGTATATCTTGAAAGCTGGGATTGTACTACCTTCAGCTTTGTTCTTCTTTCTCAAGATTGCTTTGGCTATTTGGAGTCTTTTGTGGTTCCATACAAGTGTTAGGATTGTTTGTTCTAGTTCTGTGAAAAATGTTGTTGGTGTTTTAATAGGGAGTATTAAATAATGCTTTGGGTAGTATGGACATTTTAACAATATTGGTTCTGGAACATGGAATATCTTCCCATTTGTTTGTGTCGTCTTCAGTTTCTTTCATTGATGTTTTATAGTTTTCAGAGTACAGGTCTTTCAACCTCCTTGGTTAAGTTTATTCCTAGGTATTTTCTTCTTTTTGGTGCAATTGTAAATGGGATTATTTTCTTAATTTCTCATTCTGCTGCTTCATTATTAGTGTGTAGAAATGCAACTTATTTCTGTGTATTAATTTTTTATCCTGCAGCATCACTGAATTCATTTATCAGTTCTAGTAGTTTCTTTGCTGGAGTCCTTAGGGTTTTCTATATACTCTCAAGTCATCTGTAAATAGTGTCACTTTAACTTCTTCCTTACCAATTTGGATGCCTTTTCTTTCTTTTTGTCTGCTTGCTGTGGCTAAGACTCCCAGTACTATGTTGAGTAAAAGTGGTGAGAATGGACATCCTTATCTTCTTCCTGATCATAGAGAAAAAGCTCTCAGTTTGTCCCCATTGACTATGATGTTAGCTGTGAGTTTTCACTTATGGCCTTTATTATTTATTATGTTGAGTTATGTTCTCTCTAAATCTACTTCATTGAGAGTTTTTATCATGAATAGATGTTGAATCTTGTCAAATGCTTTTTCTGCATCTACTGAGATGATTATAAGGTTTTTAATCCTTTTTCTCGTTAATGTGATGTATTATGTTGGTTTGTGAATATTGAACCACCCTGTATCTCTGGAATAAATATCTATTTGATCATGGTGAATGATTTTTTTAATGTATTGCTAAATTCAGTTTGTTTATATTTTGTTGAGGATTTTTGTATCTATGTTCATCAGAGACATTGGCTGGTAGTGCTCTTCTTTTGTAGTGTCTTTGGTTTTGGTATCAGGGTAATGCTGGTTTTGTAAAATGAATTTGGGAGCTTTCCTTTCTCTTCTATTTTTTGGAACAATTTGATTCAATAGGTATTAACTCTACTTTAAGTGTTTGGTAGAATTTACCTGTGAAGCCCTCTAGTCCTGGACTTTGGTTTTTCAGGAGTTTTTTTTTTAATTACTGACTCAAGGGGCACCTGGGTGGCTCAGTGGGTTAAGCCTCTGCCTTCGGCTCAGGTCATGATCTCAGGGTCCTGGGTTGGAGCCCTGCATCCGGCTCTCTGCTCATCGGGGAGCCTGCCTCCCCCCCACCCTGCCTGCCTCTCTGCCTATTTGTGATCTCTCTCTGTCAAATAAATAAATAAAATCTTAAAAAAAAAAAAAGTAAAATTACTGATTCAATTTCATTGCTAGTAACCCATCTGTTCAAATTTTCTATCTCTTCTTGATTCTGTTTTGGAAGGTTATGTGTTTCTACAAATTTATCTATTTCTTCTAGATTATCCAATTTGGATATGGCATATAATTTTTATCATAATATCCTCTTACAATCCTTTGTGTTTCTCTAGTGTCAGCTTTTATTTTTTTCTCCTTCATTTCTGATATTGAGTTCTTTCTTTTCTTTTTTGATGAGTCTGCCTAAAGGTTTATCAATTTTGTTGATCTTTTCAGAGAACCAGCTCCTGGTTTCATCAATGTGTTCTATTGTTTGGGTTTTTTTGGGTTTTTTTTTTTTTTTTTTTAGTCTCTATGTCATTTATTTCTTCTCTAATATTCATTATTTCCTTCTACTGGCTTTGGCCTTTGTTCTTTTTCTAGCTCCTTTAGGTATAAGGTTGGGTTGTTTATTCAAGATATTTCTTGCTTCTTGAGGTACACCTATTTTGCTATAACTGGACCTCTTAGGGGACATTTTTGCTGCATCCTAACGATTTTGGACTGTTGGGTTTTTGTTTTCACTTGTCTCCATGTATTTTCATTTCCTCCTTGATTTCTTAGTTGACCCATCTGTTATTTAGTGGCCTGTAATTCAGCCTCAGTGTAGTTTGTATTCCTCCCAGGTGTTTTCTTGTGATTGACTGTGCTCAGCTGTGGTGCTTAAAAAGATGAATGATATGGGCGCCTGGATGGCTCAGTAGGTTAAGCCGCTGCCTTCGGCTCAGGTCATGATCTCAGGGTCCTGGGATCGAGTCCCGCATCGGGCTCTCTGCTCAGCAGGGAGCCTGCTTCCCTCTCTCTCTCTCTGCCTGCCTCTCTGTCTACTTGTGATCTCTCTCTCTGTCAAATAAATAAATAAATAATCTTAAAAAAAAAAAAAGATGAATGATATGATTTCAGTCTTTTTGAATTTACTGAGACTTGTTTTGTGGCCTAAGGTGTGATCCATTCTGGAGAATGTTCTTTGTGTACTTGAAAACAATGTGTATCCCACTGTTTGGGGATGGAATATTCTTTTTTATTTTTTTTATTTATTTATTTTTTTTTAATTTGACAGACAGATCACGAGTAGGCAGAGAAGCAGGCAGAGAGAGAGAGGAGGAGGAGGCAGGCTCCCTGCTGAGCAGAGAGCCCGATGCAGGACTCGATCCCAGGACCCTGAGATCATGACCTGAGCCGAAGGCAGCGGCTTAACCCACTGAGCCACCCAGGCGCCCCTAATTTTATTTTTTATAAACATATATTTTTATCCCCAGGGGTACAGGTCTGTGAATCGCCAGGTTTACACACTTCACAGCACTCACCATAGCACATACCCTCCCCAATGTCCATAACCCCACCCCCTCCCCCCAGCAACCCTCAGTTTGTTTTGTGAGATTAAGAGTCACTTATGGTTTGTCTCCCTCCCAATCCCATCTTGTTTCATTTACTCTTCTCCTACCCCCTTAACCCCCATGTTGCATCTCCTCTCCCTCATATCAGGGAGATCATATGATAGTTGTCTTTCTCCGATTGACTTATTTCGCTAAGCATGATACCCTCTAGTTTGGGGATGGAATATTCTAAATGTATGTTGAGTTCATCTGGCCCAATGTGTCACTCAAATCCACTATCTCCTTGTTCATTTTCTGTCTAAATGATCTATCCATTGATGTACGTGGAGTGTTGAAGTCCCATATTATTATTAAACTTCTGTCAGTTTCTTCCTTTGTGTCTGTTAATAGTTCCTTTATGTATTTAGGTGCTCCTATGTGAGTTGCCTCGATATTTGCAATCATTCTATCTTCCTATTGGATTTTTCCCTTTGTCATTATGTAGTGTCCTTCTTTGTCTCTTGTTACAATCTTTGTTTGAAAGCCTGTCTCTTGCAATGTAAGTATGTAAGGAGAGATATGCTCTAGCAGCTGGCTCTAAGAGGACCCTCCTGTTGTTTTTCATTGGTTATCATTATTATTTTTA